ATAGATAGATAGATAGATAGATAGATAGATAGATAGATAGATAGATACTGAGAGACAGAGACAGATAGATGGATACCGTAGATAGATAGATAGATAGATAGATAGATAGATAGATAGATAGATAGATAGAAAGATAGAAAGATAGAAAGATCGATCAGATCGATATAACATGTAGACTTATATACGCTTCACAGTGCTTTCCAGCCTTCTCTAAGCCGTTTATAAAGTCAGCCTCTTTCCCCCAACAATCTGGGTCCTCGTTTGACTGACCTCGGAAAGATGGAGGGCTGAGTCAACCTTGAGCCAGTCAGGATCGAACTGCCGAACTGCTGGCAGTCAGCAAGAATTAACCTGCAGTCCTACATTCTAACCACTGCACCACCTGTCAAGCAACTTTATTCCCCCCCCCCCCAAATCCACAGACTCTCCACTGCTAATTGTTTTCCTCCTCTCTCCAAAGCAGGGCCAAAAACAAACCTACCCCACGCTACCCTGAAAAAAACCTTCCAGACATAATCCTGCCCTTCTTCAAGAGCTCAGCCCTGCCTCTCGAGTGGCTTCTGCAAATTCTGCATCGCCTGTCATCGTGTCCCCCCACCCCGCCGCGAGGGGGGCTTCCCTGCAAGGGTGCTAATCCTCTGCAAGCGGGCACACACGCACACGTGACCGCCTCGCCATACATCCACGCTGGTTGTGGCTTCCTTTCGCACCTCAGTCACGGCAAGAGCCACCCTGATGCCTTTCATCCCCCCCCCAGGAGCGGGGGAAGGAGTGGAGAAGGGACCGTCTAATGAGATCACGTGAGCCCCGGGAAGCATCTGGCAGCGAGCAGGCCAGTTTACACAGCTTGAGTTGTCGTGGAGACAAAGCACATGACCAGCTCAGCACCACAAGTCCGGGGCAGCGGTCCAAGCGCACTCTTCACGCGTTCTGACGGAGAGCAGATGGGCGACTAGTTGGGAGGCCAAAAGACAACAGTGGAAGTCTCTTGGGCTCTGGCAAACCCTACGTGGGTACCACCATCCTTTGCATCCTGGATTTATAGACACACACACACACACACTCCTGCGGATCTCATCCTGCCATCCAACACAGAGGGCTTCGTCTCCCAGGCAGACCAGTGCCTGGCCCACTGCAAGAACCTGGTCTGCTTCTCCAACCCTTGTGAGTCAGTGTGGTGTTGTGTTAAGTATGCCTTGGAAAAGCTGTTCTTCTCGTTATACCTCCCCTGTGTCACCTTTGTTGAACAAACACCCGCAAAAACATGCACCAGATTCAGGAGACATGCTCGGAATGTAGCATTTTTTTGGAGGAGAATTGAATGACATAGAGTAGAATAGAACAGAATTAGAATTAGAATAGAATACAGAACAGGTAATAGAGTAGAATAGAATTAGAATAGAATTAGAATAGAATTAGAATAGAATACAGGTAGTAGACTAGAGTAGAGTAGACTAGACTAGACTAGAATAGAATAGAATTAGAATAGAATTAGAATAGAATACAGAACAGGTTGTAGACTAGAGTAGAGTAGAGTAAAGTAGAATAGAATAAAATAGAATTAGAATATAATTAGAATACAGAACAGGTAGTAGAGTAGAGTAGAGTAGAGTAGAGTAGAGTAGAGTAGAGTAGAGTAGAATAGAATAGAATAGAATAGAATAGAATAGAATAGAATAGAATAGAATAGCTGCAACTACCGGTAGTCCTTGACTTACCACAGTTTTTTTAGATGATGCCAGATGATTCACAAATGATTTAAGACCCGTTTTTCACACTTATGACCATTGCAGCATCCCCACGGTCACCTGATTTACATTCAGATGCTTGATACCTGGTTCACATTGATGACATCCTGGGGTCGTGGGATCCCCTTTTGCGACCTTCTGACAAGCAAGGTGTCAACTCATAAAACATTCCTATGCCTGTTTTAGTAGTTGCCATAAAAAGGGAGGAGGAAGCGAAAGTACATTCCAACTCTTATCTTTAAAAGATTGTAGCTAAACTACCAGAGTTTTTGCCCATGAATATATTTAATTGGAGAACGTGATTGATGACACCCGGCCCATGAAGGTGCTCAATTGGAGAATCTGGTTTATGAGACACCCGGGGGGGAGGGGGGAAAACAGGGTCACCGGGGACTGTAAATGACGCCGGCCAGAGTTGGCTTCATACAGGGCAGGGCCAGTATGTCGCCTCTAATGAATCCTTTGCAGTTTTTTGAAGTTTGGCTCGAGAATCATGACTCAATTAGGGCGATTGCTGGAATCCTGACACAAAATCGATGAGGCAGGGAGAAGCCCGATTCACTGAATGACCGTGTCACTAATTGAACAACGGCAGTGATTCTCCTTAACAAACGGGGCAAGCAAACTCATAAAATGGGGCAAAAGTCCCTTCGCGAAGGTTTTGCTTAGCAATGTCTAATTCTGGGCTCCATTGTGGTCATATATTGAGGGCTAGCTGTACTGAAGAAGAAGAAAAAAGAATAGATGCTCGGTCTGAAATTGCCAGAAGGAGCCCCATCTGGTAATGCCACGAGGTTTGGTTCAGACCCTTCAATGTTCTTCCAAGAAAGTCCAGGTGTCAGGATTCCAGCTGTTACCCCCATTTAAATCACGAGTCTCGAGCCAAACTTCCAAAACTTCAAAAGGATTTATTGGGAGTTAACATGTCCGGCATTGCCTGGGTGAAGCCAACTCTGAGACACATCTTTCATTGTCACCCTTGACCCTGGTTTTCCCTGCACCCCCTGGGCGTATCGTGATTCATATTCTCCAATGGGACCCCTCCATAGCCCAGAGTCATCAATCAGGCTCTCCAGTTAGATATTTG